GATGAGCCCCCCCCTGCGGAAAATTTTTTTAAAAATAGTTTTTCCCCCCCACCCCACCCGCGCGTGATGGATCCAGTTCGCCCGCTACGCCGCCTTCACCGCAGGCCTCGTCTACGGTGTCGTCCGCCACTCGTCGCTCGCCTCGCACGTCGCTGCTGAGAAGAGCCTTGCTGCCTCGGGTGATGTCTGGTGGTCGGCTCAGGACGGTGAGAAGCAGGCTGATGGCCATCACTAAGATGGCACCTGGCCCGGCCTTCCTACCGTCGCCGGCCCGCCTCTTGTGCCAACGCTTCTCGGTGCAACAAACACACAACACACACACACACACACACACGCGCACATATGATGATGATGAGAATGATGACGGGATGACGGCACCCTTCCTGCACTACACACGACTCTGGTTGCATATATTTGATCAGGTTGCTTGCGGGGGGGGGGGGGGGGAGGGGAGGAGCTAGGTCTTCGGCGGCGTGCCGAGAGCCTCGAGCATGGCATGGAAGTTGGCCAGCAGCTCTGCGTTGCCCTCCTTCTCCATGGCGGCCACCATGGCATCCTTGGACTCGTAGACAAACTTGTGCAGCGAGTGGAGCGAGGGCAGGTCCGAGTCCTCGAGCTGGACGAGGCCCGAGGTTGGGGCCGACGAGACGACATGCGAGTCCGGAAGGGTGGCCATGGCGTCAAAGTAGTTGTAGAGGATGCCCTGGTAGTCGTCGAAGAACTCGTTCATGGCGTTGAGGTACGCCTCTTTGGAGCCATACTGGACACCGTTGGACAGGTTTTGCAGCGCCTTGGCGACCAGGACCAGACGGCGACGCTGCTCGGGCGTCGGCAGGTCGTTGGCCAGGCCCGACTGCTGCGGCGAGAGAATAGCCGGGCAGAAGAAGCGGAGGAAGATAAAGCCGCCCACAACCATGTGTTGCGACTTGGGGAACTTGGGCGCCGTCTCCACCTGCAGATGCTGGCAGATCTCGCGGAACTGGATCGGCGCCGCGTCGACGGTCTGCACAATCTGCTCCACAAACCGCTCGCACCAGTCCATCAGGTTGTTGAGGTTTTCCACAAGGTCTTCGTCCGGGTCTGCCTTGGCTGGGTTCACCTCAAAGCCCTCGGTCGACGAGAACAGCAGCGTCACCAGCCGCTTGAGCGTGTTGACCAGGTAATTCTTGCCTATTGTTTTGGCGTATGCCGTCATCAGCTTGGTCACCGTCGTGTTCTCGCGGAACAGCGTTCCGCCGTCCTGCGTCTCCTTCACCGTCTGCGTGATGCCGTGCTTGATGATCTCGATCGTCTTCTCCTGCCGCTCCATGATGTACACGATCGAGTCCAGAATCGCCGCCTGCTTGGAGACATGGCATGCGTTGGTAATCGCTGTCACAAACGCAAGGTCCGGTTCCACCACAAGCTGCACCATGTCCATGTACCGGTCCACTCCCTTCTTCCCGTCCTTGCCCTTCTTCTTGAACAGCGCCATCGTGAGTCTTGTTCTTCAAAACAAGGACCAACAACTGTTACCTGCTCCTGCTCTTGCTCTTTGTTCTTGCTCTTGCGGTACTGGGCTGGAGCTGCTAGTCGTGTGCTGCTTCTTGTCCTGCTTCTATCTCCTGCTTTGTCTCGAGTGCCTTTCCCCACACCCGCCCGTGTCCAGCAGCAAACAACGCATGAGTTTCTCCCGTTGGCCAGACACCCCCGCCCGCCCGCCCCCGCGCCCCTGCCCGTCGCCCACCTCCCCCGGCCCCCCCCCCCCTTTCCCCCTTAGCCCCCCCCCCCCCTCCCCTCCTCGTCCATGCTCTTTGTATTCTCGTCACCCCCTCCTCCCTCCTCTCCCCTCCCCCCCCCCTCCCCTTTCCCCCCCCCTCCCCCCCTCACCATTGTGGTCGCAGAGGCAGAGAAAAAACCAGGCACCGCCTCAGCCCGCACCCCACCCGGGCCACGTGCCCAACCATGACCTCCCACTCCCTCCCTCCCACTCCCTCCTCCCTCCCCTCCCTCTTCGCTCCATACACAATCCCTCTCTCCTTCCTTCCCCCTCC